TATACACTGATAAGCCTAAAAATATTTACATACTTATTGTGCCGGTGCTCTGTAAGGTGTAGTCATAACTTATACGTCCATAATATCCATCATCGATAAGATTAGACACAACTGTACTGTAAGTGTGCGGAGAGAAAGCAAAGGAAGAGTTTATTCCGTTATTCTCGTGTATGACATGAGTTTGAGACCCATTTTCAGACACAAACGAAAATCTTCTCTCTCTCTCTCTCTCTCTCTCTCTCTCTCTCTTATTCTCCTTATTATTATTTTATCATTGAATAGAGAGAGTCAACAACGATATGAATCAATACACGTATAATTCATTGAATTATATTTCGTTTGTTATTTATTTATCTACGATATGAAGTAGTTTTTATTATATAGACTTTTTGTGTGCAGCGAACAATTCATTGAATTCTCAAATGTTTACAACAATTAAATCCATATAATGTGAGATATTAGTGGACGGCCAGTGTTAGGGATGCGAATAAATATTATATAAACTGGTCTTACAGTTAATGTCATTTCTTTTGATTTCCTATTAAGTAATGCAATAATAGATGAAATAATAATAATTTTTTTATGAGGCATTATTTGGTCTCTGTTTGCGCGCATATATCTCAGTATATATTGATATTCTTGCGATCGCTGGCAGTGGTGTAGAGGAAAGTGAGAACCGCATCGCCAGTGATGGTAGTATTGGCAGCGATACACAACTTCTCCCTTAAATTAGTTGTCTCTTCGCAAATGTTAGGTTAGAATTATTTATCAATTAGTTGTCTCTCTGTCTCTCTCTAAACAGCAATCTTTCACACGAATAGCTGTTTGGTGTGTACTCTTCGGCATAAATAGTGACCGCAAATGAGTCGACGACTACTGAAAAAGCCATAAATTGGATGTAATTGTGTTTTCTAGTGGACCTGTTATGAGCCCTCAATGTGTTGCCGATTGCGGCACTCGTATGGTGTATGCATTGCGTCCCTAAATGAATATTCTGTTCACTATTCCGGTGATTACTACTACACATCCGAGTGTATAATATTCATGTGATTCTTCCTGTGCTTTTCATACCGTGTGTGTTATATCGTGTCTCAGATGTAACTTTTCATCGTCAGTCAAAAAAAAGCAACAAATTAATGAATCAATATTTTTTACTTTTGTTACCATAAAAATCAAATATAAATAATACCAAAAGTTCTTAAGATTGTTTTTGTGTTGTTTTTTGTGTTCACAATTCATTGTGAAACGTGAGAAGCAGTCGGAAGGGAATCGAAATAATTTTTGTTATGTTATGTAAAGTCGATGCATACGAATGCAGTCGAGAAAAGTTTTTGTAATTTAGTGAATCGTATTCATCATACGCTATATCATCGTTAGTATTAATAATAAAATTGTTTTGTGATATAATACAGTGGGAATTGACCGGAATATTCGGGGGCAATGAAAGTGAAGTATTGGTGTTATTCTCATAACAAATATTTTTAATAACTTTGACGCCAATAAGCATCGAGTGTTGTCTCAGTCGTATAAGTCATACAATTTATGCCCTCTTTTCACAGTCCACTGCATTATATGATAGACTTCGCCGACTCTTTCACTGACTCTTCAAATCTTTATTCACTGATATTATTATTATTATAATAACAGCCAAATGTATAATAATATAATGGATTCGTACTTCTAGTGAATAACAAACCATTGGCTGTAATATAAGTTATAGTGGATGTCAGTCGCTCGTGGGGCTGACACTACTTCAGCAGTGAATTCTGTATATTCTGTATATTCTGTTGTTGTGTATATGAAATATATCGGTGGGATTGGAGGAGTCGGAAGGGCCACTCGTTAACTGTTAACCTGGTCTAACCTCATCGCTCAGACCCCTCAAACCCACTAACACTAACAGATCAATCAAATCAATTACAATAAAGTGCTGTCTCTTATTGGGCACTAAAACTCGATGTCGACTATCGATAGAAAGCGGAATTCAATGCATCGCAAGCGACAGGCGATGCCCAAAGACAAGGACAGGGGAGGGAAGTGCTGGTGTTGTCGACGGCTCTTAGCCTTCCTATTCTCGCACATAGGGCTCGGATTCTTAGTGTTCGCCTACAGTCTCGTCGGAGCCTTTATTTTTCGACATTTTGAAGGTAAATATCGTCTATTAAGACATTATATCCCACGGTATCCTTAGTCTCCAGTCATATAATACTAGTATTTATTTGTTTCGATCCACTCATTCACTCATCTCTTAAATATCATGTCTTATATATAAGTTTGTGTTCATTTATTTTGTGTGTCCTATTGTGCAGAGCCCTATGAAAAGGGAAAGGCGGTGGAAGTGCTTTCAATACGAAACACTACTGTTCATAATCTATGGACCGAAACATTGAAATTCAATGTCCTCTACAAAGCGAACTGGACGTTAATGGCATCCAAAGAAATTGAAAAATTTCAACAAAATCTCATTCAAGCCGTCAAAGAAGGCTATGACGGCAAACAAATCGCAACTTCCAATCATAACCAGTGGTCACTATCCGGCTCATGGATGTACAGTCTCACTGTCATCACCACTATCGGTATGTTTGCCTGCGTTTGCTAATGACTTCTTGTTTTTTAATCACAACACCATTACATTGAGTCGATTCCGTGGTTATCTCGACACCAATACAAATATACAGACAAATGCTTTTTGTGTTGATATATGGGTTCGCGATTTGGTGGGGGAAAAAAGGCAAAGCCTTCGCGAATGTGTTGCCAAACATTGGTCTCTATATTCATATGATATGATAAATGAGCCATAATTCCAATCGCCTTAAAAGTAACTGTTTTTCTCTATTTAAAGAATACTCAATAGTCTCGGAGTTAGTCTTTCTCTCATTTTTTTCTCTTCTCTCAGCTATTCTTTGCATTTCTTTTTGTTCTTCTGTTTGCTATCATTTGTGCAGAAATCTTGAATTCAATGCATTATTCAAATTGATCTCTGAGTTAACTGAGTGTAAGTCATTTCAGTGCATTTGGCATATTGTGTTTCGCACACCAATCCATGTGTGCCTCTAACTGTGCGCTACTGCAGAGATACTGGTGCTCTGCGAGGCTATGGATGCTGTGGTGGTGGATATGGGTGTGAAATGATCAAATCAGATACTGTTTGATAGACTAGAACACAATGCGGGCTAACTCTCCAAATAAACTGTGAGCACAAATAGTGGCAAATAAGTTATTGGATGTCAAAATGCGATCATATGATTGTGATCTCTTGGATACACCCAAAACACAAACTTATTTATGAAATTTCTATTCAATATATGCCTTCACTTCACTCACCGAAAGGATGAGTGAAATCCATTTTGACGAAACACACTGTAAATCCTTTTCTCATTTATTTGCAAATTTTTGTTATCATTTTTCATGATTTTCATGCAAAATAGGAGTAAAAAATAGAATAAATTAACCAAAACTTAATTGATTTTAAATTGGATTTTATTTGATTTTTGGGTTGAATTTTGCACTCTTTTGAACACATAGTATACGCAATACAAGCACTCATTGCAGGGCTATAACGAAATGTTTTAAGAATTTTTATGTTTTTGTCGTATAATTAGCTTTTTGTGGAGAGAATTGATTTGGAAAACAATTTTTAAAACCAAATTTACTGAAAGAAATTCCTAATTATATGAGCATTTTTGGGGATAGAAATAAATGTGTAGCACTTTTTTATGTGTGTTTGATTTGTGTGTAGACAACAGGTGTTGATTCACTTATTTATAAATTGATTCGTTAAATAACGTAATATTCTCAGTGCACTACTAATAGCTATGGGATGATAGAGAGAGAGAGAGAGAGAGAGAGAGAGAGTGAGTGAGTGAGTGAGAGAAAAAATTATATATAAAATCATAGACTGAGATGTTTTTTGAGGGAATTGTAGAGAGAATTATTTGGTGTAAAAAATTGAGTGCAAAACCATAATATTCAGGGCTTCGGAGATTTATAAGGCGAGTGCCGAGTAGTACAAGAGTTATAAAAATTTATTTCAAATGTGAAACTGAATTAAGTGAAGTGTGAATTATATATTATATATTGTATGATACCTTACATTTGATATTATATAATGGGTTCAGCACTAAATGGGGACCCAATGTATCCAAAATGCGGACCCATTGGAGCGTATTCTCCGAGAAAAAGGACTTCAATTTGTTGAGCAATCGTTGCGACTTTCGCTCAAACTTTCACTCCAACTAACTCTGGAGTTTGAGTTTCGTTTGTTTGGAGTGAAAGCCAGGGATAGTAGGGATGCCAGGGATGGCACACACAGAAGCGGCTCATCGTCAGTGAGCGACTTAGTGTCCCTAACATCACAATACTTATAGTGGCCATGTATTGGATGACCATTCATGCGGTCATCCCTTATATTTACGACGTCTTCTGACATTCGTTTATATGACTCGTGTATGTGAAGAGAGTTTAGGCTTAAAGTGAATCACAATCAGTGAGAGAGAGAGAGAGAGAGAGAGAGAGAGATCGTCAGCACAGATAGCATAGCCTTTCAAATAATACTTATTGGATGGCATGAAATTCTCATTTATTTTATCATTCGCTTTGCTATGAACTCCTGGCGCGCCTTCAGCTCAACCAATATATGGCAATAAAGAATATTCTTGTGATAAATGTTATGTCTCTTGCATTACATAATATATAATATACTGTTTGCGTGTATTTAGAATAGGAATTACTCTCTCTTCGGCTACTGTTTGTATTACTAATGCATTACAAACCCGAGTCTAACACGTGTTTGCAGTTCGGCTCCACATTTGTTCCCTTTCCCTCTCGTCTAAGACTTGGAAATCACTGTTCAATTGAAATTTTCATCAATTTTTAAACTTTATTTTATATTATCAATTTTTTTGTTGTCTGTAGTTTACACAGATATGTAATGTTTTCATATTATAAACTAAATTTAGAAAATACTGTAATATTCGTTTTGCAAATCTTTTCAATTGAAAAGTTTATTTTACTAGTAGATAAAAATTTTAAATTACAAATAATATTTTTGGTTATTTTTAGTATCGTATATTTAAGTTACAGTTACAGTTAAGTTACAGAATATTAAATTACTGAATTTGATATTTATCAAAAGTCTAGAATATGTTTGCTGCACTGAATTTTTATCAAGTTAAAATATGCATTTATGTTTTTTTTGAAGTTTATAAGTATAAATTTTAATAGTTAATAAAAACTATTTTTTTTGTTTATATGAATATTAAGTTTAATGTTTCTCAAATTATTGAAACAAATGTAATTATATTGAAATAACTTCTTTACTTGAATTCTCTATTCCTTTTGAATTGATTTTTGCAATTAGTTAACACGAGTTAACTATAAATTATTTGTAATATAAAAACGTGCAAATTGTGAACTACTCGCACATATGTTTATATAAAATATTGAAGGGCTTAACCAAACCATCGGTTAATTTAGTTGAGTTTATTCACTGCTAGAGTCCATCTCTACTGAAATAACTGACTGTCAAATAAACCAATGTTTTCGATCTTAAGATAAGTCACTCCCCGTTAATAATGCAAATCAAGAGTTATTGAGGTTTGCGTTGAGACCGAAATGGATGGAAAACGGGAGGAAAGACACGCATAGAGAGCCCACTAAACAGTCTATTATTCAGCGCTTAATTTTGCCGGTTATTAATGGAGATAGCATACAAACAATGAATTATAGCTAAAACATAACCACTCAAAATACATATGTTTTCACTGATTGTGACCATTGATGGGCAATATTTATATTCCATATGTTTTTCCACTCTTTTACACTCACTCCTACCTTATACACTGATAAGCCTAAAAATATTTACATACTTATTGTGCCGGTGCTCTGTAAGGTGTAGTCATAACTTATACGTCCATAATATCCATCATCGATAAGATTAGACACAACTGTACTGTAAGTGTGCGGAGAGAAAGCAAAGGAAGAGTTTATTCCGTTATTCTCGTGTATGACATGAGTTTGAGACCCATTTTCAGACACAAACGAAAATCTTCTCTCTCTCTCTCTCTCTCTCTCTCTTTCTCTCTTATTCTCCTTATTATTATTTTATCATTGAATAGAGAGAGTCAACAACGATATGAATCAATACACGTATAATTCATTGAATTATATTTCGTTGTGTTATTTATTTATCTACGATATGAAGTAGTTTTTATTATATAGACTTTTTGTGTGTAGCGAACAATCCATTGAATTCTCAAATGTTTACAACAATTAAATCCATATAATGTGAGATATTAGTGGACGGCCAGTGTTAGGGATGCGAATAAATATTATATAAACTGGTCTTACAGTTAATGTCATTTCTTTTGATTTCCTATTAAGTAATGCAATAATAGATGAAATAATAATAATTTTTTTATGAGGCATTATGTAATGTTTGAATGTATTCTTACACATGTTATTTGGGGCTTACCAAACATATTACCATTCATTTTTTAGTGGCTAAAAACTTAGGGGTACAATGGTTTTGGGGGCATAATTTTAGACAACGGACTGTGGATATATCTAAAAATAAAATACTTTTGGCATTTAATAGTACTTTAAAGTATATTTTAACACAAATCTCCTATGTTTTGTGCCCACAGAAGCCCTGGGGAGGCAAACCCCCCACTGGCTATCTGTGATGTTAGTAGTAATAGGAAAGGATAATACATATATATATATATATATTATTGATATAATTTAGTGAATTTCATTTCATTGTACGCCTGTGTGTGTTGGCTATAGTTGTGTGCAATGATTGCTCGGAGAAAGTGTTTGCTATAAAACAGTACAAACGTCTGACGGGAATGACCGGTCGAGTGGAAAAATGCCGTCGAAAATACAATATAAAGATTATTTTCTCGGCTTTTGTTTCCTAAAGGCAAAAGTGATATATAAAAAACATAAAACTATAAAATGGAGGGCTAAGGGGATTGGTGTTTATGATTGGGCTTTGGTTTGAGGTTGAGGTCGAGGCAAAATTTGATGATACGATACGTTTGCCTCAATTACTCACAGATTTATACCCTGTTCATAAACTAAGATTTATACTCATTTCTCGCTCAGCCGTCGCTCATCTCTTGCACAGATACCGATAGTTGAGATACTGGTGCCACAGCATCACTACATCCATGGCATCACTGCATTCGCACATAGAGTGTAGCGTTAAGGGGAACAGTAGTAGTGTTCAGTAGTGCGACAGAAGTGCAGTGGCAGTGGTGGTAGAGTATAGTAGGCATCATAGGAGCACTAGGAGTACAGTAATGTCATGGCATAACAGGTTCATTACTCCCTGGTTTCGGTGTGACATGCTTTTAGCCATCGGCTTATATATTCCACTTCACGATTTGCCTCACTCTCAGCGCTCGCAGCACTGGTAGCCTCCCGTCGCCATAGAGACAGAGCATCTTTGCCTTTAAGTCCATTTGTTGTATTGTATGGCAAAGACTATGAGCTCCTACTACTCCTACTGTATTACACACTCAACTGTTTGATAGTTTGCTCAAAACATAACCAATATATTGGACTTAAGATTCTGCGAGAGAGAGAGAAAGAGAGAAAGAGAGAGAGAGAGAGAGAGAGAGAAAGAGAGAGAGAGAGAGACGCCGATTCACTCTCCCTTTCCCCCTCTCCATGCCTTACGCTCTGCACTGTTATGTAATGTTGTGTTGATTTTGATGAAAAACATTAAAAATTATAACAAAAGAGTGTTTCCTTATAACCTAAGCGTTGGAAAAAAAATTATAAATTAATGCCTTATTTTTAGTGTTGAAAATAGGCTTCGCTTTTATGTCAAATGCATTTATCATCACTGAGTCAACGATCATACGAGTAAAGCATTACGAAATTAGGTCCACAAAGAAAGCAATTAGCCTTAAATCACGTTTATTTCACTTTATTGTTCATTATATCTATCATTTTCAGCTAATAAAACGACTTAAAACAACATTAGTCTAAAACTTCAAATTCAGACTCTGAGATGCTTTTAAGCAAATTCTTATCAAAATCTACTCTCATATCAGAGTTGCCATCAAATTCCCTATTAAGGCCACTGTTAGAGCACAATAGTCTGTATGTTTTGGACAAATACA